GTATTCGTTCTGGTAGGTTTCATTATACAGTAGGTCCGTCTGGAAGGTCATGGTGTAGTTTTCTATGCAAAAACGCACCGTGACTTTCCCAGTGACCCAGTACTTATAAGACCGGCTACAATTATCACTAGAACTGCAGAAACTGAGCAACGAGTGAGTCCCAGAAAATCGAGGCATTTTTCTAACCGTCACTGTCTAAGAATTGCCTGTAGCCACCAGGCGGCAGGTCCACTCTGCAGAAGAAAATAAGAGAATAGGGTGGATGTGCCTCCTCGCAGGCAGCAGGGACGCCCTTGCTCAGGGTCCTAATTAGCAGTGGCCCAGCTGTGCGTCCTTGGGCTAGGTCCGAGGGGCTGGGGAGGACAGCTGGGCTGTGCTGGCTCACGGAGAACTGGGTGCTGACCTGGGAGGGTTGGATGAGGCCTGTGCGTGACAGGCTGCCTGGCCCAGAGTGGTCAGCAGAGGTGGCAGTGGGGGGCGCGGGGCGGCAGTTGTGGTGTCAACCCCACAGTAAGGACTTACTTCATTGGTACCCGGCAGAACCCTCCCTGTGATCTACGTTTCCTGCAAAAGCACACAAACACAGAACTCCAGGAGAAGGAGGTGAGCCCAGATGCCAGGTTTCTTCCTCTGAGGCCCCTGGGATGGGTGCTTCTGTAAAGCCCACTGGCAGGGCCGGGTCTCGGTCTGCACTCACCGACATTATTTCTTTCGGAAGTGAGCCTGGATGTAACAACATGACAATGGAGACATCGGCGTGCGCTCTCCCTTGCCCTCACAAGGAAAGGGTACAGATGACTTAGTGCCACTTTCAAAGAAAACAGGGAGGGCCAGACGCAGGCATAGCAGTAGCAGATGGGAGCCCCCGAGCCCCACGGAAAGGGCCCCACTTGCATCCAGGCCCTCCTGCATAGGCGGGAACGAGTGTGCCCATAACCCAGGCCGACTGGGCCGTGGGGGGACGGCAGTGCAGAGACCTTGTCAGAGCGCCTGTATCCATCTCTCAGTCGCTCTCTGCCTCAGTCCTGCTCGTGAAATAAATAACTTTAAAAATACCAAAAGAAAAAAGAGAGAAACAGTCTTTCTGATCTTTCGATAATATCTTTTTTAAAGTTTATATTCAATTCCCGATTCTCCTGACTAAAAGCAGCGAGGGAACTTAATTAAAAAAGAATACTAAAGGCGTTTTAACACAGAGTCAGCAAAATGACACAGCCTTTGTGAGCTGACATTCCTGGAAAAGTTCAGAGGTCTTTAATGAAGCCAAAAAAATGGGGAGCCAGCTGGAGGTCGGCAGGTGGCATGGTGGTTAAGGGTGCTGGACCCCACATGGCCTACAGAGGTTGGAGTCCCAGAACTGGCGGCTTGCTTTCTCACTTTCTCCCTCTCTCTCTGTCCCTCTCTGGTCAAATTAAAAAGAATAAGTAAAAATAAAATAAAATAAATAAAGTTAAATAATTCTTTTAAAGGGGGGGGGGCTGCTCTGTGATGCAGTGGTATTGGGCAGCTCAAGGGCAGCCACATCGCACGTGGTGACCACAGTTTGAATCCCCGACGCGGTCAGCCTGAAACATGCCAGGCACAGGCACATGCAAATGCCCCGGATCCAGTGAGCTGGAGGACTGGGATGGAGGTGTGAACAGATCCCTGGAAGGAGTTCTGCTCTCTCCCCTCAGGTGCATATGCATAGGCTCTACCATGACAGAGAAAAAACCTTTTTAAGTAAATACTCTATCCTTTTTTCCTAATTGCCAGAGGGCACCTGTGCTAACCAGAGAAAGAAAAACAGGGAAGGAGTGGGAAAGGGGGCAGGGGAGAGAGTGCGAGCACCCCCTGCTGGGGTATGGCCATGCGATGGTCCCTTCTCCTCCATTCCTCTGTCCTGCTGGGGTCTGCACACATGCACATGCACCCAGCATGGTTTTAAGCTGCCAGGGACAGGGTTCGAACCACAGCCATGTAGGATTCGACACCTTTAACTACTAGGCTAGGCTATGGGGCTAGCCCAACTCTTTATTAACATTCTACTCTCTGACCATCAAATGTCCTGTATGATTAAGTGAACTATGTCATACACTGTGTGTATATATATTCATATATGTGTGTGTATTTGTATGTATACACACATATTTCCTTTGTATATATAGATACAAAAGAAAAAAAGTATGTATATATATATGCACACAGTGCATAATTTCAGTATACTTATAGACATATGTCTATATGAATATATATATGTGTGTATAGAGAGAGAGATACACAAAGAAAAAATGATAAAACTGCACTGACTCACATATGGTGATTTTACTGGGCAATTTCAAGACTAATGGATCTAATTTCAGCACCTCAATAATAAAATAAAACCTGTGAAAAATTAAATTTTGGTAGAAAATTTTGAAGTATTCATTCTTCAACCCTTTACTAACCATTTCTATTCGAAACTCAGCTATTCCCTTTGCATTTCTGTTTCCTTAATGACTTTTAATGAGACGGATCTGAGAACAGAAAGGTGGGTCTTGTGAAGGAGCCTGTTATAATTCTGAAGAAGGCTAGAGCCTCTGTACGTGTGTCCTCCATTCCGAAACACAGGTACCGGTACACAGGAATGTTCTCTCTTCCACGTGCCCGTAAGCCTAAGTTGAGTTTAGTAAATTTCCTCCTAGAAAATGATCATTTGCTTTTCTTTTTGGTAGACAATATCAAGTACATTTCATGGATAAAATACAATCTGGGTCTTATTTTTCTGAACCTCTAACATCTAATGCAGGAAGCTGGAAACGGTTGCAGCCTCAGATTTTTATATGTAAATGATCCTAACCGAAAGTCCACCTACTCAGAAAACATACTTTTAAGGGGCTGAAGAATAAATGTTAAAATAAAATTTACTTCATGATAAAAGAAACCATATATACACTGGAAATATTAAGGCTCTCTTGGACCATATATACACTGGAAATATTAAGGCTCTTGGACCATATATACACTGGAAATATTAAGGCTCTTGGACCATATATACACTGGAAATATTAAGGCTCTTGGACCATATATACACTGGAAATATTAAGGCTCTTGGAACCACAGAGGAAAGTCTTAACATTATACAATCCGGCATAGAGAGAAAAGGAATTAAAAAAAAAAAAAAAAAGGTTACCTTTTTGTGCAAAGCATGAAATTCGCTGTATCTTTTTTCCACAAAATGTTTTCTTCCATTCATTAGCACTTCTATCTTAAACACCTAAGGAAAAAATTAAAAAGATTAATTCTACTAGTTCGAAACCCTCCATTGTCTGACGCGGTAACTTTGTGACCATGATGTATTTCGTCCCTTTAATTACAGTGGCTGATCCCCCAAAACCCAGAGGGCTCAGGAGACCCTGGTCCAACAGCACTGATTAATGAGCGCTCAAACCAAATGCTCACTAACAAACTACGGCACTCCCCCAAATGTGCCTAAATGCAGGCACCCCTGAATGCATTATTATGAAATGCGATTAATTTTCCATCAGAGGGTGTATTTTATTCTAAATGATTTCACAGAGTGAAAAGGACGGTATTGAAAGAGGGCAGGATGCAACGGCGGACTCTGAGCGAAACGGCAGTCACCGGCATTCCGCTATGAGCATCTCGGAGAAAGCGTCCTGCCTGTCTCTAAGACAATCCTGCCTCGTCTCTAAGACAGTCATGCAAACAGTGGAGCAGTTTGGGTTAATTTCTTCCTAACCTGCATATTCATTGCTAGTCTCAGCTGGGCTTATTCTGCTGTTTGCAAAACAGGGGAAATTTGGTAAAGGCTCATTTTCCCTGCATGATACGAGTGACAGCTTGTGCTCCCACCTCCAGAAGGTTGAAAGGCCAGATGAACCGGCTCTCTGGGTGCACTAATTAGTAGGCACGAACATGACATTTTCTTGATACCTGGGTCAGTGGGTCAAGACTGGGAACAAGGGATGAGAAATATTGTGAAATGCTCATAAAAATGCAGTGTTTAAGGGCAGGTGGGGAGGGATGCTGGCAGGACTAGGAGGAGGTGCTGTGTTATTCCAGGAGTTCGTGTCTGACTCTTGTTTCTGCTAAGTGAGAATTTGAAATACCGTTCCGTTACTTAGTAAGACCATATTCCTGTTTCAATTGGCCTTTTGCAAGAATCAAAACTGTAGTTGAGGTTCCAGGAACACTGAAAGACTCTTTCAGTGTTCCTTTAAGCCTAAAAACAAGAACCTCTTGCACTTGCGTTATGAGATCACATACCCTTATTATGAAAGCAGATGCCCTGTGCATTCAGTATGTATTTCTGCAGAAATCTGATTCTTTTAAAAAGCCAGAAATTATGTCATCGAACATAAAACCTGTTTGTGCTTTTGTGCTTCTTTGAAACAGAAACAAAATCTTCTGTGGCATGACTCAGTTTAAGCAACCTGCTTTTATTAAATAAGTCAATATTTGCTATTAACATTTCATTTTCTTCAAAAAACAACCCCTAAATACTTGTCTTTGGTGAATTAGCGAACATATATATTTTTTTTTTGGTCTAAAAACATATGCATATGCTTCAAACTCTCAGATATACACGTATATTTCTTTTAGAAAAAAAAATTCTGCTTACTAATTCACTAAAGAAAATGTTTCTTCTTCAAAGATGCTGCCAGAAATAGAATCAGGGAGAAAAATAAACAAGAGAAGCACTGTTTTAACTTGGGGACTTGGTTAATTGGATTCGGGGACCCCTTTCTCGTGTCAGGTCCAGATTTAAATCAGTACAACGTGGTAGCAATGAAAGCAGATTCCATCTCCTGAGCAGGATGAAATACATGACGTGATGTTCCGGGTCTAGTGACTCGAGGATTCATCTCTCTCTCTCTCACACACACACACACACACACACACACACACACATAAACTACCACTTAAACAGGTGCATTTGCCACAAAAATTCACAGATTAGGGAAGGAGGCTGGAGAACAAGCAAGGCTCAACCTACTGGGTGACCCCACTATGTGCCCTGTCTGAAAGGCCAAGGCTAAGACACCCTCCTCGAGGACCGCCATCCCTCCTGCTGACCAGACGGTGCCATGACCAAGTTGCACAGTTATTTTTCATAAGCACTAAATTCACAGTGGGGTGGAGGCGGTGAACACACATACAAAGGAAAGTTTTTGATCAAGGTAAAATCTAATATTTTATGATTCTGCCATTGGAAAAATATACAATATACACTATTAGACTTTTTATTCTAAAGTACGGGAAAACATCTTAGAAAGGAGGTTAATTTTGATTTCCATGACAAAGTAAATAAGTCAATGGAATAAATCCAGTTTTCCTAAATACCATACCAAACTTTTTTGCTGCTGTTTTTTAAAGCCTTTTTAATTTTCTTATGTACATGGTCCCCGCCACCTGAAAAACCTTTTCTTGCTTTACTCTCCCGGCAAAATCCTGGGAGTCACTCCCAACCGACCTCAGAAGGTGGTGTCACCACAGGCGGTGCCTGGGAAGCACCCAGCACAGTACCTGACCTTCACATGACCATTCATTCCCCAGATATTCCGAGGGTGCTGGGAGTCATGGGCGTCTCTGGGTGTCAGCAGTGAACAGCACACAGGAGCCCATGGCGTCCTGCCCTGGGAGGCGTCCTGCTGGGGGAGACAGCCACAGCCCGCCACAAACACAAACCAATGCTGGATGCTGAGAAGTGGGCAGTCTTTGAAGAGCAGCCTGTCAGGCAAGGGGACGGAGCTTGATAAGGGTGCTGGTTAGAGCATGCCCCGAGGAGGCTACCCTGGGCTGAGAGGTGGTGAGGGTGAGGGTGAGGGGAACAGAACCTGAAGGAAAACACCAGGACAGAGGGCACCCGAGGGTTGTGTGAGCTTGCCTTGGGAAATGCAGGCAGGCAGTGGGCGGACTAGGACTGTTTTCACTTCTCTTCAAAATAATTTATTAAAAAAATTTTTCTTTACTTGCTGAAGTACGCATGTACTCACTGGAGAAAGAGAGAGGGAAAAAAGTGAGAAATAAGCCCCTAGGGGGATGGCCACACCATAATTCCTTGCCTCCATTCTCCCCTTGGAATTTTGGGCATGCACATACATGCCTGGCATGTTTTTTAAGCCACCAGGTCCCGGACTTGAACCACATGATCAGCCATGTGGGATCCAGCTGCCTTAACTAGCACATCATGGGCTGGCCCGGGGCACTTCTTGTATTACCTCCGCTGGCTGGGTCTGTGCCTTCTCCACTCCCTGAATCTCCTTACACTGTGATTCAAAATCTTAGTTTGTTTTTATTGCAAAAATAATGTGCTTATGTAAAAAAAAAAAAAGTTCAAAGTATAAACAAGTAAAAAAAAAAAGTTCAAAGTATAAACAAGTATAAACGGGGACGGCCACACATTACAGTGATAATACGCTGGTCAAGACAAGCCTCAAGCCACATGGTCACTGCATTTTGAATCCCCAGCTCAATCGGCCTGAAAACACATGGGTGTGTACAGGAGGGCCCAAGTGCCAACAGGCCAGAGGATGGGAGGAAGGAGATTATGTGTGACCAGGCCCTGGCAAGGTGCCCCTCTCCCCCTCCTCTGTCTCTCTCTTTCTCAAACGTGTGTGCACGCACTCTGTCACGAATAAAAGAATAGAAACGAGAATCTAAACTGAAAAGTATGTTTTACATATAAAAGTAGCATAATTCCTTGCCAACTCAAGAATGATCTTAAATAGCCTTTCTAAATTGTTTATATACATACTGGATTGTCAAAAAAGTCATGACGTGTTTTTCTACACAAAAATGTGTCATGACTTGTTTGGCAATCCATTATACGATCTGTATATGGACATTATTTTATACTCTTACACAGCTAGAATCATGCCATACACTATTTTTACATTTAATACGCCTTGGATATCTTTATCAGTATATTTTTCTTTATTAATTTTAAAAATTTATTTTATACATCCAATCACTATACATCACTTAGCATGTAAAGTGAATTTACTCAACATGAAATATGCTTCAGACCCGTCCAACTGAGGGTACTACACACGTTATCATCAACAGGTAATAAACCATTTCTGTGTCCCACAAATGTCTTGCCTCTCAATTTTTATTTCTAATTTCCTTTCCTACACTCTTCCCCTATCCCACTCTCCTTTCACACTGTCTCCAGTGTCCATAATTATTTTCAAAGTTATTATTTTTTTGAGAGGTTTTTCACTATAGGGTGCATGCACTCACCAGAAAGACAGAAACAGAGAGACAGACAGAAAATGAGTAATCCCCCCCCAGGTGGGATGGCCACGCCAGAATCCCTTCTCCTCTATTCTTCTCTCAGGATCTCAGGCACGCACGCACACACTCGCAGTGTGAGTTTAAGCCACCGGGTCCAGGACTCGAACCACAGTTGATCATATGGGAGTCCAACAACATAGCCATTATGCCAACTGCTGGTACCTATTTTCAAAGTTTTTATATCCTCCAATCTTTCAGTCTCTACCATAGAGTACGGACAGTATCTACTATTACTATATTTTTAGTTCTGTTTTTTGGTTTTTTTTTTGGAGAGG